GACATTGACATTTCAAACCGGAAGTTGCTTATATCTCGAATAATATTGGAATTAAACGTATCATGTTTGGACTCATTTTAAAGGATTTTTCACGACGATTACAAATATGTCAAAATTGACGTTGACATTCTTAACCGGAAGTTGATAACTTCATTAATATTGAAAATAAATATGTCGTGTTTGAACTCATTTTAAAGGATTTTTAATGAAGATTACAAATATGTCAAAATTGAGGTTGGCAATTTAATTTTTAAATATTAATACCAACCTTAATTTTTTATTTTTTTTTATGATATTTTTGTGTTTGTGACAAATATTAAGACAGTTTATAAAAACTAAGAATATGTCAAAATGACATTGACATTTCAAATCGGAAGTTGCTTATATCTCGGGTAATATTGAAATTAAACGTATCATTATAAAGGATTTTTCACTACGATTACAAATATGTCAAAATTGACGTTGACATTCTTAACCGGAAGTTGACCATAACTTCATTAATATTGAAGATAAATATGTCGTGTTTGTACTCATTTTAAAGGTTTTTTAATGAAGATTACAAATATGTCAAAATTGAGGTTGATGTTTTCAACCTGAAGTTAGTTATCATATAATAGAGGTTTTATAACTGAAGTCAATTCACATTGATTAAAAAAAAATCGTTGATTTTTAAGCCACATGATGATTCTTGAATTTTTCCTAAGTTTCTCAATATTTCTTCGTCCTTAATTTCATTTTACAACTTAAAATTAAACATCAAAATTGTTGATTTTCGAAAATTAACTCAATTATAACTCAAAAACTAAAAGCGATGAGGAAAAACTTTTTATACATAAAACCTTAATAATGGGCCATAAAGACTAAATCCATAACAAGATTGAAACCAATTATTACCATTTTTTATTTATAAGTTCTAATACGATTAAACATCAAAATTGTTGATTTTAGAAAATTAACTCAAAAACTAAAAGCGATGGAGAAAAACTTTTTATACATAAAACCTTAGTAATGGACCATAAAGACTAGATCCATAAAAAGATTGAACCCAATTATTACCATTTTTTATTTATAAGCTCTAAATCGATTAAACATCAAAATTGTTGATTTTCGAAAATTAACTCAATCATAACTCAAAAACTAAAAGCGATGGAGAAAAACTTTTTATACATAAAACCTTAGTAATGGGCCATAAAGACTAAATCCATAATAAGATTGAATCCAGTTATTACCATTTTTTATTTATAAGCTCTAAATCGATTAAACCGGAAGTTGACCATAACTTCATTAATATTGAAGATAAATATGTTGTGTTTGTACTCATTGTAAAGGTTTTTTAATGAAGATTACAAATATGTTAAAATTGAGGTTGACATTTTAAACCTGAAGTTAGTTATTATATAATAGAGGTTTTATAACTGAAGTCATTTCACATTGATTAAAAAAATCGTTGATTTTTAAGCCTCTTTCCATTTTTTTTAAATTTCTTAATATTTCTTCGTCCTTAATTTCATTTTACAACTTTTTAAACTTTAATTTTGTAAATTAAAAAGCCACGACTTACAGAAATATCCTGTATAATCGTAAAACAACTAACCAAGCGGATTCTGTGCTTATGATGGCTCAAAAATCAGTGATAAAAATTCTGAGAAGTCTTATATTTTTAGAGAGATGATTCATTTGTCGCTTAGTCAAGTGATGGTCCAAATATTAATTCATCCAAGTTCCATAATTTAGTAAAAAAAAATTTTTATTTTAATAGGATTCAATATCTATTTAAACCACGTCCGGAAAATCAACGAGCTCACCCATTCTATCGTACACTTTACCCGCAAATAATTCAAGACATCGATAGTATAGAAAGTAACTGGCGAAACGGGAGACACATTCTCCAAAGAATTAATTGCCGCTCAGAAAACAGCAAAGGCGTTTATTGTTTGCAATACGATGACCAAAAAATCGTTTCCGGTTTAAGGGATAACACGATAAAAATATGGGATCGCAACTCTTTACAATCGACCAAAGTACTAATGGGTCACACGGGGTCCGTTTTATGTCTTCAATACGATGACAAAGTGATTATAAGCGGGTCAAGCGACGCGACGGTGCGCGTTTGGAACGTAAACACCGGCGAAATGGTTAACACGCTGATACATCATTGCGAGGCTGTGCTTCATTTAAGGTTTAATAATGGGATGATGGTTACTTGTTCGAAAGATCGTTCGATAGCCGTTTGGGATATGACGTCGCAAACGGAAATAACGTTGCGTAGGGTTTTGGTTGGGCATAGAGCGGCGGTGAACGTCGTCGATTTCGATGAAAAATACATTGTGTCGGCTTCCGGAGATCGAACGATTAAAGTGTGGAACACATCAACTTGCGAATTTGTCAGGACGTTAAATGGACACAAAAGGGGGATAGCTTGCTTGCAATATCGCGATAGGCTCGTTGTAAGTGGAAGTTCTGATAATACTATAAGGTAAGTATAAGATATAAAACATGAATTTTCGTCTTTAATAACAAAAATTGTGATTTAAGATTATGGGATATAGAAATAGGAATTTGTCTCCGTATATTAGAAGGTCACGAAGAACTTGTGAGATGTATACGCTTCGATTCAAAGCGAATAGTTAGTGGGGCTTATGATGGGAAAATAAAGGTGTGGGATTTGGTTGCGGCCCTTGATCCACGACGACCCGCAAGCGCGCTTTGTCTTAAGACTTTGGTGGTAAGATGATTTTTGGAGATATTTTAGTTTTAGTAACTAAATAATCAGTAATATTTGTGCCAATCTCGCATGGGAATCATGTGACTCTTCAATATCTACCATTAAAACCATCTCCCAGTAACAACCGCCCTAAAACTTACTGCAGTCTGGATGTCATTTTGCAATTTCTTCTCTGATATAGCCACACTTTTCCAGATTTTCCAACCATTCAACGAGGATGTTTTCAATAAAGTTAGGTCGGTATTATGTCCAAATTATCTGGAAACTTATCGAATATTCTTCTGGTATAATATGTTTTCATTTAAGCTTAGTAGAGTTAGATGGATGACCTGGACTATTCTCTACCAGCAAAACTAAGATGGTGGTCTTTAGCCAACAATTTTTTTCATTTTTGGAATACTTGAATTGCATTAAACACTTGCTGCAGAACATAACCACCACCTTAAATAATCCACTTTAAAGATTATGGATAAACCCTTGCTGTCTTATAATTAAAAAACTTCAAATTGTGAACGCTGTGAGAATTTTTAAATTTATCAAGCCAACCAGTGCAGCCCTTTGTGGCTCTTTTTTGAGTTTGATCCTCAATCCATAAAATCGACGCGTTTTCAACATTTAATAAGTACTTTTCTGACCTTTTTGCTTGACAATGCTGCTTTTTTTCTGACAATGTATTTCATTTAAAAAAACATTGAATTATTCAAAAAAAAAAAAAATAAATAAACCTGATGATAGTTTCACGAAAACGAAACGTTGGAGAAAATTTCTAATTGTGCCATGACATTTTTCATAAAAAGTTGCCTTCAGAATGTTTTTTCAGATTCACGAACGAACAAAAAATAAAGGAGTTATAGGCAAAAAACGAAAATGTCATTTTTTTCTTTTTCGGCCATATTTTAAAAACTAAAACTGCTAGATTCAAAAAGTTTGTTGAAAAATGATGATACGCAACTTTGCTCCTATTTAACTATTTCTGTATCTCTTATGGTTTCTGAAATGCCAATGGTGGGGGTCGAATTTGAATTACCCTGTATTGTTGACAGCATCTAGTCTTCTATTAGTAGTATTTAATCTTTTGCAGGCAATATTTAATCTTTAGCCAGTAGTATTTAGTATCTTTTATTACCAACATCCAGTCCTCTTCCATTAGCAGTATCTAATACACTTGTCATCTACTTGTCTGCCAGTAATATCTAGTCTTCTGCAAGCAATCTATAAGCAGTATAAAATGATCTGCAATGAGAATTTCAATTTTTGATGAAGCAGTCTTCTGCAAACAACACCTACTATTCTGTAGACAGCATCTAGTTTCATTACTAATATCTAATACATAGCATCAAGCGTCCTGCAAGCACAATCAAGTTGTCTAGAAACAATTTTTAAGCAGTATAAAGTGATCTGCAATGAGAATTTTGTTTTTCAATGAAGCAGTTTTCTGCAAACACCACCTAGTCTTCTGTTAACAGCATCTAGTCTTCTATTAGCAGTATTTAATCTTCTGCCAGCAGTATTTACTCATCTCCAAGCAATATTTAGTCTTCTATTATCGGTATGTAATCTATTATTACCAATATCCAGTCTTCTTCTACAGGTTGTTTCGGTGACTCAGAAAACAAATTTAACCTAGAGTGAAAATAATGACGATTCATGTAAAAATCCATCAAAATTAAGAAATTTTAACACATTTTTCCAAATATCTTAAACACTATTTATAGCAGTGGTGTCCATAACGTCGATCGCAAAACAGTTTAACTCAATCATAACTCAAAAACTAAAAGCGATGAAGAAAAACTTTTTATACATAAAACCTGAGTAATGGGCCATAAAGACTAGGTCCATAACAAGATTGAACCCAATTATTACCATTTTTTATTTATAAGCTCTAAATCGATTAAACATCAAAATTGTTGATTTTCGAAAATTAACTCAATCATAACTCATAAAATAAAAGCGATGGGGAAATACTTTTATACATAAAACCTTAGTAATGGACCAGAAAGACTAGATCCATAAAAAGATTGAACTCAATTATTACCATTTTTTTTATAAGCTCTAAATCGACTAAACATCAAAATTATTGATTTTCGAAAATTAACTCAATCATAACTAAAAAACTAAAAGCGATGGAGAAAAACGTTTTATACATAAAACCTTAGTAATGGGCCATAAAGATTAGGTCCATAACAAGATTGGACCAAATTATTACAATTTTTTGTTTATAAGCTCTAAACCGATTAAACATCAAAATTGTTGATTTTAGAAAATTAACTCAATCATAACTCATAAAATAAAAGTGATGGAGAAAAACTTTTTATACATAAAATCTTAGTAATGGGCCATAAAAACAAGATCCACAACAAGATTGAACCCAATTATTACCCTTTTTTATTTATAAGCTCTAAATCTATTAAGCATCAAAATTGTTGATTTTCGAAAATTAACTCAATCATAACTCATAAAATAAAAGCGATGGGAAAATATTTTTTATACATAAAACCTTAGTAATGGACCGTAAAAACTAAATCCATAAAAAGATTGAACCCAATTATTACTATTTTTTATTTATAAGCTCTAAACCGATTAAACATCAAAATTGTTGATTTTCGAAAATTAACACAATCATAACTCATAAACTAAAAGCGATGGGGAAATATTTTTTATACATAAAACCTTAGTAATGGACCATAAAGACTAGATCCATAAAAAGATTGAACCCAATTATTACCATTTTTTATTTATAAGCTCTAAATCGATTAAACATCAAAATTGTTGATTTTCGAAAATTAACTCAATCATAACTCAAAAACTAAAAGCGATGGAGAAAAACTTTTTATACATAAAACCTTAGTAATGGGCGATAAAGACTAGATCCATAACAAGGTTGAACCCAATTATTACCATTTTTTATTTATAAGCTCTAAATCGATTAAATATCAAAATTGTTGATTTTCGAAAATTAACTCAATCATAACTCATAAAATAAAAACGCTGAAATTTGGTACAGTATAAATCAATGTGATGTAAAATTGTTAGTCAATTTATGAATTGGATCGGTTCGCGGGAACAATGCTATACAGACTGTTCCTAAAGTTTGTTTGCTCAGAACTTTTTTATTCTATCATAACGCTACATTTATTTTTACAGTTTCTATTAGTAAATTTAGTTTAGAAACTTTTATTACTCTTAGATAATATTGATAAAAATCACCGTTTTCGTGTTAAATGCAAAAATGTTGGACTCTGATTTCAATAATAGCACTAAAATAAATATTACAAAATATTAATTTACACTGTACCAAATTTCAACGCTTTATCATAAATAATGTTTAAGATATTTAGAAAAATGTGTTAAAATTTGCCTGTATCTTTGCAATTTGAGGACTTTTACTAATTTTAAACACCCTGTATAACCCAGCATCTAGTACATAGTATGGGGCGTCTTGCAAGCAAAATCAACATTTCTCCAAGTAGTATTTAGTGTTCTACTATCGATGTCCAGTCTTTTATAACCAGTCATCTACAATCAAGTATATCAGTATCTAATCTTTTATAACCAGTATCCAGAGTCTTCTTCCATTACCCGTATCTAGTACACAATGCCAAGCGTATTACAAGCAGAATTAAGTTGTCTGCAAGCATTATTCAGTCTTCTGGAACCAATTTTTAAGCAGTATAAAATGATGGACAATGAAAATTTCGATTTTTGATGAAGCAGCCCTCTGGAAAACAATACCTAGTTTTTTGTTGACACCATCTAGTCTTCTTTTGACAGTATTTAATCTTCTGCCAGCAGTATTTACTCATCTCCAAGCAGTATTTAGCGTTCTATTATCGATATTGAGTAATTGTTGAGTGGTAGAGAGGAACTTGATTCCTAACTCCGCTCTATGTATTGCTTTTGTATAATTATTGTCATTGTTTTTTTTATTAATAAAGCCAAGTTATTATTATTATTATATGTAATCTATTATTACCAGTATCTAGTCTTCTTCTATAACCCAGTATCTAGTACATAGTATGGAGCGTCTTGCAAGCAGAATCAACATTTCTCCAAGCAGTATTTAGTGTTCTACTATCGATATCGAGTCTTTTATAACCAGTAGTCTTGCATTACCAGTACTAATACATAATATCGAACGTCCTGCAAGCAGAATCAAGTTGTCTGCAATGAGAATTTCGATTTTCGATGAAGCAGTGTTCTGCAAACAGCATCTAGTCTTCTATTAGCAATATTTAACCTTCCCCAAGCAGTATTTAGTGTGCCATTACTTCCAGTCTTCTTCAATTGTCAGTATACATAGTGTCGAGCGTCTTATAAAAAAAAGAATTAAGTTCTCTGCAAGCAATACAAAATGATTTTCAATGAAGCAGTCTTCTGCAAACAATACCTAGTCTTCTCCAAGCAGTATATAGTGTTCTATTATTCTCCAACATTTCTCAGTTACCCTTTTTTTCTCCAACTCCAATTTTTTTACTCTCTTTATCCTCTCTGCATATAGGAATTCCTACTTCTTAGTCCTACAACTCCATTATTAATTATGGTGTAAATAAAATAGTAGTAATTAATTTTGTTAACAATTTAATTAATAAAAATAAAAAATTAGGAACACACCGGTCGAGTATTCCGTTTGCAATTCGATGAATTTCAAATAGTGAGCAGCTCCCATGATGATACCATTTTGATATGGGATTTTTTGAATTCGACGGTCGACAACGCAAATTGTACCCCAAAGCCAATGACACGTTCGCCTTCACGTAAGTTATTCTTTTAATTGAAGCTTAAAAGTAATAACAAATTGATTTTAGCGTTTGAATGAAACGAGGATGTTAAGAACCGGGTCATAAAAAGAAGGCTACATCCTATGGATGTCTACGCACACGACCATGTCAAGATAACAACAAAAAGTATTAATCACAAGAAATTTTTAAAAAATAATAAGAATAAAAACGAGAAGAGAAAAAGAAACGAATCGCTATTAATCAGAATGTTCTCTTATATAGTTTTTATGGTTTAAAAATAATTAATTAATTGGAGTAAAATGTACATTTGGCGTTTATCTTGACTTTTTTGCTCCTTTTTGATTTTCTGTTGGTTGTTTATTTCTTTTTGTGAGCAAAATTTGTAATTAACGATTATTTAATTCGGTGAGAGACAATTGGGTGCAAGATTAGGTTAAGTTTTTGATGGCATAATTTTCAAATTAAAATTCACCGCCAAAAACTTAATCCTCCACCAAAACATTAATCAATTCGATTGCAAATTATGTGATTGTCGATGGTTGTAATAAAGAAAAGTCGTTTTTGAGATTTGTTCACAAGTTCGTAAAAAATCGCGAGTTATTATGAGTAAAATCGATTTCCAATTGATCGAAAATCGATGCTATTGTCTGTTTTTTAGATTATGTATACAATATATTATCTATGTGTTATAAAGTTAGTGTATGTTTGTACAAAATACTATTTATTGTCTGTGTAATTAGGCAAAGAAAGGGAAATTATTCAATCGCAGCTAGAGAGATGAGTTATTAACTATTAAAAAAACTACCAATTAATTATTTTTTAAAATCAAAATTGATTAATATAAAATTTTCCTTTAATTATTATTTTTTTAAATATAACTTACCTAATGTAATTTTTAATTTGTATTTTTTTATTAACACATAAGACTTTATTAAATTCATAATATAAATAAAAAAAAATCGAACTGCTTGCAAACGAAACAAAAATAATTAAAAACAAAAAAAAAACGTAGAACATTTTTGCCTTAGCATTTACGCATAATCGTGAAACGTCTTGTGATAAAATAGAAAAGGAGATGGGTTTTAGGTCCCTGCGTGTATTTTTTGAGCTCGATTAATTCTTATTTACCATTCTTTTTTTATTGCTGCCGTATTTCTTTTTTCAATTTATTGTAAACTTAGATAAAACGTCGATGATACCTTTTTTTTGTTAGATATTAAATAAATTGATTTTTAAGTTATTAATTTATTTATTATATTTAATAATCCCCTATCAATTTAGTACTAAATATTGCTGGCAGAAAGTTAAATACTGCCAATAGAAGACAGTTCATTTTGTACTGCTTAAATTTTGCTTGCAGAAGACTAGATATTACTGGCAGACAAGTAGATACTGCTTGCAAAACTCTCGACGTTATGTATTAGATACTAGTAATGAAAGACTAAAATTAATTAGGTAATAAAATGTGGATATGACATCATTATCTTAAATAATTATCTACGATGGAATTAACCTGAGTAAATAATAGCTCATTATATGCGAGTAAAATACTACACTTTGTCCACGATTATTGAAATTGATTCCATGAATTAATTTTTGAATAAAGTTTAAACGTCAATGTGACACAAATTCAATGTTACTAACTGTAACCAACTTCACAACAATTTGTCAAAATTAAATGTCAATTATGTCAAATTATAAAACGTTTTCTTTACGAAAATTAATTAATTTATGCTTAAATCATACGAAAAAAAGAATTTGTTTAGGTTTTTTTAATGTCAAACATTTAGAAACTCCTAAAAAATTGAATTAAATTGAGGTTTTTTGAAATTTTTCGTTTCAAATAATTATTAGTCTGTCAAGTTGGTTACCCGTGAATTTATTATTCACCGCCATTATTCGGTAATAACATCCGAATATTTTAGACGTTTCAAACTGTGTATTTTTGGAATAATAGCTTTATTTAAGTGGAAATATTAATAATCTAATTCGTCGCAATAGCTTCCGGTACTTTTTAAATTAAATCAATAAAAATACCTTTTTTGAATACCTTTATTCAAAAAACCAAATATATCATAATAATTTATTTTCATTAAAAAACGGGCTTATTCGGTACATGCAAATTAATTTATTATATTTAAAAAAGTAAGAAAAACCCAAAAATAAAGTTTTTTTGTAATTTTTAAATATTTGTAACTTGGGTTGCATACACATTTGTTTTAAATTTTCAATACAAACAACATAACCTTAAAAATTTGACTTAATTGTGTAAAGTTGTTTTTATTATTAAAATCGTTTAACGTGTAATAATGTTAATACTAATAACATTATTTAAGAGATAACACATATTTCATAGTAAAAATTTGATTTCTTCTAGTGAAACTGTAGGAAAGATGTAGAATTATCTATGAGGTTATCTAGAAGGAGCCAAAGGATATTAATAAAGGAAAAGCAACAAGAAACGTGGTGAAAAGGACCTCTTTCTAGAAACTTTGAAGCTGTGCATTGAATAATACCTAAAAACTATCTCGGAAACTACTTAACGTAAGTATTTTTTATGTAAAGTATACAATTTATTTTAATTTTAACTAATTCTAATACAAATTAAAATTAATGTAGTGTTAGTTATGTCTATATAGACAACAAGAAAATACAATCAAATAAGTTTAGTTGGTTTCATTAAAAATGATTGATTTTAATTTCCATTATGAACTTAATTTGTAAAATTTAAATTATTAATAATATATGATTTATTCGGTACATAAAAATTAATTTGTTATATTAAAAAACAGTAAGAAAACACCCAAAATTAAAATCTTTGTAATTTTTATATATTTGTAATTTGGGTTGCATACACATTTGTTTTAAATTTTCAATACAAACAAACAACATAACCTTAAAAATTTGACTTAATTGTGTAAAGTTGTTTTTATTATTAAAATCGTTTAACGTGTAATAATGTTAATACTAATAACATTATTTAAGAGATAACACATATTTCATAGTAAAAATGTGATTTCTTCTAGTGAAACTGTAGGAAAGATCTACAATTATCTAGATTCATCACTAATTATGAGGTTATCTAGAAGGAGCCAAAGGATATTAATAGAGGAAAAGCAACAAGAAACGTGGTGAAAAGGACCTCTTTCTAGAATCTTTGAAGCTGTGCATTGAATAATACCCAAAAACTATCTCGGAAACTACTTAACGTAAGTATTTTTTATGTAAAATATACAATTTATTTTAATTTTAACTAATTCTAATACAAATTAAAATTAATGTAGTGTTAGTTATGTCTATATAGACAACAAGAAAATACAATCAAATAAGTTTAGTTGGTTTCATTAAAAATGATTGATTTTAATTTCCATTATGAACTTAATTTGTAAAATTTAAATTATTAATAATATATGATTTATTCGGTACATAAAAATTAATTTGTTATATTAAAAAACAGTAAGAAAACACCCAAAATTAAAATCTTTGTAATTTTTATATATTTGTAATTTGGGTTGCATACACATTTGTTTTAAATTTTCAATACAAACAAACAACATAACCTTAAAAATTTGACTTAATTGTTTAAAGTTGATTTTATTATTAAAATCGTTTAACGTGTAATAATGTTAATACTAATAACATTATTTAAGAGATAACACATATTTCATAGTAAAAATTTGATTTCTTCTAGTGAAACTGTAGGAAAGATGTAGAATTATCTATGAGGTTATCTAGAAGGAGCCAAAGGATATTAATAAAGGAAAAGCAACAAGAAACGTGGTGAAAAGGACCTCTTTCTAGAAACTTTGAAGCTGTGCATTGAATAATACCTAAAAACTATCTCGGAAACTACTTAACGTAAGTATTTTTTATGTAAAGTATACAATTTATTTTAATTTTAACTAATTCTAATACAAATTAAAATTAATGTAGTGTTAGTTATGTCTATATAGACAACAAGAAAATACAATCAAATAAGTTTAGTTGGTTTCATTAAAAATGATTGATTTTAATTTCCATTATGAACTTAATTTGTAAAATTTAAATTATTAATAATATATGATTTATTCGGTACATAAAAATTAATTTGTTATATTAAAAAACAGTAAGAAAACACCCAAAATTAAAATTTTTGTAATTTTTAAATATTTGTAATTTGGGTTGCATACACGATAGTTTTAAATTTTCAATACAAACAAAAAACATAACCTTAAAAATTTGACTTAATTGTTTAAAGTTGTCTTCATTATTAAAATGTTAGTTTTAATAGTATTTAAGAGATAACACGTATTTCATAATAAAAATTTAATTTCTTCTAGGGAAACAGTACAAAGGATGGACAATTATTTAGATTCATCACTAATTGTGAGGTTATCTAAGAGGAGCCAAAGCCAAAGGATATTAATAGAGGAAACGTCATGAAGAGGAGCTAGCTCTAGAATCGTTGAATCTGTACATATTGAATTCTAAATAATACCCAAAAACTGTCTTGGAACCTTCTTAATGTAAGTATTTTCTATGTAAAGTATATAATTTATTTTTATTTTAACTAATATTACCTTTAAAATTTAAATTTTTAATAATATATGATTTATTGGGTACATAAAAATTAATTTGTTATATTTAAAAAGAAGTAAGAAAAACAAAAATTTTAGGTTTTTTTGTAACTTTTAAGTATTTGTAATTTGGGTTGCATACACATTTGTTTTAAATTTTCAATACAAACAAAAAACATAACCTTAAAAATTTGACTTAATTGTTTAAAGTTGATTTTATTATTAAAATCGTTTAACGTGTAATAATGTTAATACTAATAACATTATTTAAGAGATAACACATATTTCATAGTAAAAATTTGATTTCTTCTAGTGAAACTGTAGGAAAGATGTAGAATTATCTATGAGGTTATCTAGAAGGAGCCAAAGGATATTAATAGAGGAAAAGCAACAAGAAACGTGGTGAAAAGGAGCTCTTTCTAGAAACTTTGAAGCTGTGCATTGAATAATACCCAAAAACTATCTCGGAAACTACTTAACGTAAGTATTTTTTATGTAAAATATACAATTTATTTTAATTTTAACTAATTCTAATACAAATTAAAATTAATGTAGTGTTAGTTATGTCTATATAGACAACAAGAAAATACAATCAAATAAGTTTAGTTGGTTTCATTAAAAATGATTGATTTTAATTTCCATTATGAACTTAATTTGTAAAATTTAAATTGTTAATAATATATGATTTATTCGGTACATAACAATTAATTTGTTATATTAAAAAACAGTAAGAAAACACCCAAAATTAAAATTTTTGTAATTTTTAAATATTTGTAATTTGGGTTGCATACACATTTGTTTTAAATTTTCAATACAAACAAACAACATAACCTTAAAAATTTGACTTAATTGTTGAAAGTTGATTTTATTCTTAAAATCGTTTAACGTGTAATAATGTTAATACTAATAACATTATTTAAGAGATAACACGTATTTCATAGTAAAAATGTGATTTCTTCTAGTGAAACTGTAGGAAAGATATAGAATTATCTATGAGGTTATCTAGAAGGAGCCAAAGGATATTAATAGAGGAAAAGCAACAAGAAACGTGGTGAAAAGGAGCTCTTTCTAGAAACTTTGAAGTTGTGCATTGAATAATACCCAAAAACTATCTTGGAAACTACTTAATGTAAGTATTTTTTATGTAAAATATACAATTTATTTTAATTTTAACTAATTCTAATACAAATTAAAATTAATGTAGTGTTAGTTATGTCTATATAGACAACAAGAAAATACAATCAAATAAGTTTAGTTGGTTTCATTAAAAATGATTGATTTTAATTTCCATTATGAACTTAATTTGTAAAATTTAAATTTTTAATAATATATGATTTATTGGGTACATAAAAATTAATTTGTTATATTTAAAAAGAAGTAAGAAAAACAAAAATTTTAGGTTTTTTTGTAACTTTTAAGTATTTGTAATTTGGGTTGCATACACATTTGTTTTAAATTTTCAATACAAACAAAAAACATAACCTTAAAAATTTGACTTAATCCATTTCTTCATTACTAAAATCGTTAAAAGTGCTATTATTAACACTATTTAGTAGTTTCATAGTAAAAATTTGGTTTCTACTAGGGAAATGGTATGAAGCAAGAACAACTATCCAGATTCATCACTAATTGTGAGGTTATTAGAAGGAGTCAAAGATTATTGATAGACGAAAAGTAATAAGAAACGTGCTTGATCTAGAATCGTTGAAGCTGTGCACTGAATTCTAAATAATACCCAAAAACTATCCTGGAAACTACTTAACGTAAGTATTTTTTATATAAAGTATACAATTTATTTTCATTTTAACTAATTTTATTACAAATTAAAATGAATAATCATAAAAATTAATTTGTTGTATTAAAAAAAGTGAGAAAACCTAAAATTAAAGTTTTTTTGTAATTTTTAAAAATGCTGATTTATCTAATAACCATTAATTTGTCTTAGGCCTATCTGAAAGCGAATCTGTGGAAGATGTAACATTTTCTTTGGAAGTGGTTGCTTATTCTTATGTCCAAAACAAGAGCTGTAGCTCTTATGCTACATCTAGGCAAATGAAATAATTCTTAAAAAACAATGTTAAGAGTCTAAATGTCTTTTAGATTTATTATTACATGTTATTATTTATTAAGAAAAATATCGCGATGTGTGTTAGTATAATAATAAGTCAGCATAGTAATCTATGGTGGTAACTTTCCAGAAAATTGCTGAATATTCTTGACAATAGTGGTTTGGGTTGCCTACATCTCAATTAATTAATTTATTTTTTTTCTCAAATTACATTTTTTTTTTAATATTTAACAGAAACCCATCAATAACAAAGCACCTACTCATCCACAAGTCATAATCAATATAAATACTATTTTTATTGATAAGGCCCAAATAGCTTCAGTCAATTAATAAGATAATTTTTCTGTTTGGTTAAAGAAATTATTAATAATGATATAGACATCGATAATTCTTCATGAGTATATCGTCATCAGGATCATTTCCTCTAAAGAAATGGATTACTTTTCGTTTTTGTGTCCAAATTTATGCATGTATATCATTATATAAAAATAAACTTGTAATTATTATATTTTGACTATAAAAAATAAATAAAAAAAGAAAATACTATGGTGTTTTATTTAAAATAATTAAAATTTTTTAAATCGTCCTATACAAAATTTCACTTAGTAAAGATTCAAACCAACAAATTTAATTAATATTGCCATCTATATTTCAATTTTCGAACTAATCGGAATAATTTTGAAATTTTAGTTGGTTTGAAACTCGGCTAAGGAAAAAACTATACCGGGTGATCCAAATAAAAATTGTAATTCGAATTGAAAATTTCTCGAGATTAATTTATTTTTGAATCACCCGGTATACTTTTTTCTTAACTGAGTTTCAAACCATCAGTAATTTAAATAAGATCGCCATCTATCGTTCAAATATCGAACTAATCGGAATAATTTTGAAATTGAGGTTGGTTCGAAACTCGACTAATGAAGAAATAATACCGGGTGATCCAAATAAAAATTGTAATTCGGATTGAAATTTTCTCGAAATTAATTTATTTTTGAATCACCCGGTATACTTTTTTCTTAGCCGAGTTTCGAACCATCGGTAATTTAAATAAAATCGCCATCTATCGTTCAATTACCGAACTAATCGGAATAATTTTGAAATTTTAGTTGGTTCGAAACTCGGCTAAGGAAAAAACTATACCGGGTGATCCAAATAAAAATTGTAATTCGGATTGAAATTTTCTCGAAATTAATTTATTTTTGAATCACCCGGTATACTTTTTTCTTAGCCGAGTTTCGAACCATCGGTAATTTAAATAAAATCGCCATCTATCGTTCAATTACCGAACTAATCGGAATAATTTTGAAATTTTAGTTGGTTCGAAACTCGGCTAAGGAAAAAACTATACCGGGTGATCCAAATAAAAATTGTAATTCGGATTGAAATTTTCTCGAAATTAATTTATTTTTGAATCACCCGGTATACTTTTTTCTTAGCCGAGTTTCGAACCATCGGTAATTTAAATAAAATCGCCATCTATCGTTCAATTACCGAACTAATCGGAATAATTTTGAAATTTTAGTTGGTTCGAAACTCGGCTAAGGAAAAAACTATACCGGGTGATCCAAATAAAAATTGTAATTCGGATTGAAATTTTCTCGAAATTAATTTATTTTTGAATCACCCGGTATACTTTTTTCTTAGCCGAGTTTCGAACCATCGGTAATTTAAATAAAATCGCCATCTATCGTTCAATTACCGAACTAATCGGAATAATTTTGAAATTTTAGTTGGTTCGAAACTCGGCTAAGGAAAAAACTATACCGGGTGATCCAAATAAAAATTGTAATTCGGATTGAAATTTTCTCGAAATTAATTTATTTTTGAATCACCCGGTATACTTTTTTCTTAGCCGAGTTTCGAACCATCGGTAATTTAAATAAAATCGCCATCTATCGTTCAATAACCGAACTAATCGGAATAATTTTGAAATTTTAGTTGGTTTGAAACTCGGCTAAGGAAAAAACTATACCGGGTGATCCAAATAAAAATTGTAATTCGGATTGAAAATTTCTCGAGATTAATTTATTTTTGAATCACCCGGTATACTTTTTTCTTAGCAGAGTTTCAAACCATCAGTAATTTAAATAAAATCGCCATCTATCGTTCAATTACCGAACTAATCGGAGTAATTTTGAAATTGGGATTGGTTTGAAACTCGGCTAAGGAAAAAACTATACCGGGTGATTCAAATAAAGATTGAAATTGAAATAAAATTTTCGCAAAATTAAATGTTTTTTGAATCACCCGGTATAGTTTTTTCTTAGCCGAGTTTCGAACCATCAGTAATTTAAATAAGAAGCGCCATCTATCGTTCAATTACCGAACTAATCGGAATTATATTTTTACTTAGTCGAGTTCCAAACCGCCCGGAATTCAAATGAAGTAGCCACCTTTTGTTCAATTCATGAACTAATCGGGATTAATTAACTAGGAGAATTGTGAAAAAGGTTTGGATTGAAGGATATGTAAATAAGAGAAACAGTTATATTTCAAATAAAATTTATTGTCCTTAAAAATGAGCTCCTAATTACTACCAAGCTCAACAAATAATGTATGTAAAGACTTTCTTTAAAATATTTTAATTTCCAATCCCAATAAAAGCCCTAAAAATAGAAATGTTGTCTATTAATCTAGTTATATTGAAGTACACCGCCATAACTTTAATTTAATAAATACAACAATTTAATAAAACTAAATAGCACTTTAATTAATTGTGAATGTATGTTTATTTCTTACCTTGATATATCCTTTTATTCCTAATTAGATATAAACAAAAACCATTTTCTTCTGATTGTTATTGGAGTTAAAAAAGAATCTTGATGAATCTTGGTTTTAATCGACTTTTCAGCATCCTTAGGTTAATTTCCATTCAAATCTCATCAATAAGCGCCTTTTCTATTCAACAAAATCAAATAAATTTAAGAATTAATAAAGCAATGATGACATTAAATGACATTGAACTTCATATGTCAATGCAACCAGCTTAAATTTAATTAAAAATCAAAAATCACTAAAACTAAAAAGACAACCTAAAAATTATTGATTTTAATTTTTACCAATTATTTAATTAAAAACGAGTGTTTATTTCTTACCTTGATAAATCCTTTTATTTCGTATTTTCCGTATTATTCCGAAACAAGAATGCTTTTCTTCTGATTAATGGTTATCGGGGTTAAAAAAAGATCTTAACAAACGTTGGTTTTAATCGATTTTTCATCATCCACGGAATCTTCAGGTTAATTTCCATTCAAACCTCTTCAATACACGCCTTTTCTATTCAATAAAATCAAATAAATTTAAAAATTATTAAAAAATAAATTAATATCAGCTGATTTCATAAATGACATTGCTTCATTTGTCAATGCAACCAACTTAAATTTAATTAAAAATAAAAAATCACCAAAACTAAAAAGATAACCTCAAAATTTTCGATTTTAATTTTTACCGATTTATTAATTATTTAATTAAAAATGGGTGTCTTTTTCTTACCTTCATAAATCCTTTCATTTCTTATTTTCCTTATTATTCCGCAACAAAAATCCTTTTTTTCTGATTAATGGTTATTGGAGTTAAAAAAAATCTTGAGGAACCTGTTTTAATTAATTTTCCAACATCCATGGTATCCTTAGGTTAATTTTCATTAAAATCTCTTCAACAAACGCCTTTTCTATTCAACTAAATAAAATAAATTTAAGACTTGATAAGAAAATAAATATAAATTAATACCAGCTGATTTCATAAATGACAATCTTCATTTGTCAATGCAACCAACTTAAATTTAATTAAAAATAAAAAGTCACTAAAACTGAAAAGATAACCTCAAAATTATCGATTTTAATTTTTACCGATTTACTAATTATTTAATTAAAAATGGGTGTTTATTTCTTACCTTGATAAATCCTTACATTTTTTATTTTCCTTTACGGCGATGGTACCTTTTTTTTGTTAGATATTAAATAAATTGATTTTTAAGTTAGTAATTTATTTATTATTTTTAATAATTCCTTATCAATTTAGTACTAAATATTGCTGGCAGAAAATTAAATAGAAGACTGCTTCATTAAAAATCGGAATTCTCATTGCAGTTCATTTTGTACTGCTTAATTACTGGCAGACAAGTAGTATCTACTTGCTTGCAAAACACTCAACCCTATGTATTAGATACTAGTAATGAAGGAGGACTAGATGCTAGTAATAAAAGACGAAAATTAATTAGGTAATAAAAACTGATTAAATAGTTATGAGTTATTATTTTCTTATAATGTGGTAACCAAAAATGAGGTAAATAAGGCAGTAATAAATAAGTCTAAATACGTATTGATATGACATCATTATCTTAAATAATTATCTACGATGGAATGTTTTGTAAACAATTACGTATTTGAGTCCACGTTTGTAAACCCTAAAAAAGATGAATTAGTTATTATTAATGAATAAAAAATTTTATAACGAACCTTTTTAGCAGCTTTTAATTGGAGGAGTGCAAAAGCGACGAGGGTTTCTTTTAAATCGGCGGCTTTTTGCACTTGGAAACGATCGACGTCCGTTAAAGCTTTCGAACAAAACTCCCTAAACAAAATTAATTAATTTTTATCATATTAGATTTTTACTTCGTCATTCTCAAGTAGGTAGTAAGAGCGGCAGAAAAAAAAGGAAAAGATATCATTTTACGGAGAGGCGATAAATGAAATGATAAGCTCGGTTTTAATGGGGTCTCTCATAGTGCTAAGAAATCTTTCCGCGTATCAACCTGAAATTACTACTATCTTGTGTTTGTTGAATTGGGTAAACAGAAATAATAAAATATTTTCGACACAATGCCAACGCTGTGGGTGAGTTAATTTTTTTTAAACAAGTTTATTAATGAAATCAGCAAGTCATTCAGAAACTACTAATCTATTTAAGCATTAAAATGTGAACCTTGAGTGAAAATCACGCATACAAATAATGATCTTTATTTATTTTCGGATTTATCCAGATATATAGGTAGGAAACGTTTATTATTTATTACTTGTGTATGTAAGATAAGTACAGATAAGATCAAAATATAGTATATTATTGTATGAGCATACAATGAGTGGCATAATTAACCTGAGTGAATAATAGCTCATAATATGGGAGTAGAATACAATGAAATTGATTCTAAAAATTTATTTTTTAAATAAATTTTTGAGTAAAGTTAATGTGACACAAATTCAATGTTACTAACTGTAACCAACTTCACAACAATTTGTCAAAATTAAATGTCAATTTTATAAAACGTCGTTTTCTTTACGAAAATTAATTAATTTATGCTTAAATCATACGAAAAAAGGAATTTGTTTTAATGTCAAACATTTAGAAATTNATGTCCCCGCTTCCCACATTTGTAACATGATTTATCCGCGATAAATGCCATCTGGTTATTTCCTGTACTGTTCTCAAAATTATTTTTATTATTTATTATTTTTTGTTTTTCATATTCCAATAATAGTTTCGATTTCACAAAATCATATTTTAATTCTTCGGATGATAAATTTTCAATAACCGTAGCAATTGTTGCAAACGATGTGGGTAACGCCATCAATAAATTACAAATTATATCTTCATGTTTCAATACGGCTCCACTTGATTTTAATTGTCTTAACACTTCTTCAAATTGATTTATAAATTTATTTAGGCATTCGCCCTCTTTCAGTTTCATTGCCAACATTTTCTTCTTGAGAAACATTTGCCCTGGCAAACCTTTCTTTTGAAAACATTCTTCCAATGCCTTCCACATTTCATATGCTGTTTCCTTTTCTCGCAAGTGTTCCAACTGGCTATCCGCTACACTTTGCACTATTAGCGACTTCGCTTTGCAGTCGTTTTTCTTTTCTGTTTCATTCAACTTAGACTGATCAATTACTGTTTTGACCATTTGTAGAACCCCTTGTTCTTCTAGAATTATTTCCATCCGGAACTTCCAATTGTAATAGTTTTCTCCATTTAATTGTTCTATTTGGGTCGTCTTGCTAGTCGATTGCATCATGTTTTAATCTTTTTTTTTTATTTTTAAGGTTACGGAAATTTATTATTATTAATTTAACGACTGGAATCTGGGCCCATAACCTGTTAATTGTTGGTAATTTAAAGGTTCTTTTATCTTGTAATAATTAACTCTCTCTACAAAAGCTTTCGACGAATTATTTATTTTTTCAATCAACAAAATACGGTCATTTATTTTTTTTTTATTACTAACTACGATCATATATTTAAAAAACAAACATCAAATATTGCCATGTAATCATTACCAATAATTTTAACAAAAATGACTAACCTTTTATTTTAGAAAACTCATTCATAAGGTATATATTATAAGGTAGTTGTGGACAAATTTATTTTTTAAATAAATTTTTGAATAAAGTTAATGTGACACAAATTCAATATTACTAACTGTAACCAACTTCACAACAATTTGTCAAAATTAAATGTCAATTTTAAAAAACGTCGTTTTCTTTACGAAAATTAATTAATTTATGCTTAAATCATACGAAAAAAGGAATTTGTTTTAATGTCAAACATTTAGAAATTCCTAAAAAATTAAATTAAATTGACGTTTTTTGAAATTTTATAATATAAATAAATAGCGCGACGAATATTATTGATAAGAGAGTTAATTATTAAATGTTGTATAAAACAAGCAGAAGAAATAAACAGGTTATTATTCCAAGATAAAATTAATAAATATTCGTTTCATTTTGACGAATTGTTGTGACGTTGGTTACAGTTGGTAACATTGAATTTGTGTCACATTGACGTTTAAACTTTATTCAAAAATTTATTTAAAGAAATAAATTTATGGAATCAACCTCAATAGGAGTCATGGACAAATCTACTCACATATAATGAGCTATTACTCACTCAGGTTAATAATATACTATTATTAAAAATGAAATTTTTTTAATACTTACGTTAAATCACTTTTAGATTGATTAACAGCTTCGGTTGCTTCGTGAATTTGCTGATCTAAATCGTTAACTTTCATCTCACGGACTTCCTCGGTATCAATAGTACCAAAAAGTCTCGACATAATCCCAATTTTTCCCTGAATAGCTCGCGTTTTTTCGGCGTTTTTCGCACTCACATTTTCCTCTGCGTTCTCTAATTTCACCAGTAAAGTCTCGTGGTTCCTACAAATTTGTTGCAAAGCTACAGCGAAAAATAAGTACTCCTTAAATTGATCGACGAGTAATTCTTCGTCTTCTAATAACCCATCGACGCTGGATGAGAGCGAATCTAAATAATGCCCTGTTTTTTGTAGCGCATCCCCCATTTCTTTTTCGATGGCGCTCCATTCGCTAAAAACCCTCCCGTAATTTTGATGTAGCTTGTAAACATTGTATTGTTTTTCCGCCACCCTCGAGCGGGCTTTTAGCATGTTGTAAATGCAAGTGTGCATCGAATTTCGTCGTGATTTTAACGTTTCGAAATGCGAGTTGGGATTTTTAAGCCGATGGGTGGAAACGCTTAACGATTTTAATTTATTCTCGGCTATTTTCCAATAACCGTTGCTCTCCAAAGAACCTTTCCATGTATCGTGTTGCAAAAACTCAATAAATATTTTATTCCACCCTAAAATGGGGTGTGATGCGACTCTTAATAAAAAAGTTTCTAAAGCAGCTCTACGCCGGTCGACAAAATCAGGATCAAAGGTGTCAGTTGAAACTTTTTGCCAACTAAAAAGAACCCGCTTCTCAGGAAGTGGGGGCACCACAATGTAAGGATATGTGTGTTCGAGATAATCATGTACCGTCTCAAATTCGGAATAACGCCTCCAAACCGTCGAAATTTTCGACAATTTAACGTGAAACTCCAAATCTGTGCATCTAATAACATTAAAATTACTTTATAATTCTTAAATTATTAACATAACTTACTTAGTTTCAATAAGATAGGTTGTGTAGAACTCCCTGAAATGCAACGATCCATTTGTACGTTTCTCCGATTCAACAACGGATATTTCCACGTGATTTAACAAAGTATCCTGAAAAGACACGATTAAAATTAAAATCGAGGTTAAATCCACAAAAATATTAACCTCTTTTTGGTCTCCACCCAGCAAATACAATTTTTTAGTTTTCGATGAATTTTCACCCATTTTTCAATATCAATTTTTTAACTAAGAACATTTAATTAAGATTCTTATTAATTAAACGAAACAATCTTTTTAAATCTTAACAGCTGTCATTATGACAGCTAAAAATGACGTTTATGAAATTATCGAATCAATACACTAGTTGGAATGTTAAAAAAGAGATGGCGACTTAAAAAGATTATTATTAATAATAAATTTATTAATTAAATCAATTTAATTGACGTTTTAAAATCCTTTTCTTTGAAGATATCGATAACAGCTATCATTATGACAGCTAAAAATGACGTTTATGTAATTACCGAATCAATACACTAGTTGGAATGTTAAAAAAGAGATGGCGACTTAGACAGATTATTATTAATAATAAATTTATTAATTAAATTAATTTAATTGACGTTTTTAAATCGTTTTCTTTGAAGATATCGTTAACATTTATCATTATGACAGCTAAAAATGACGTTTATGAACTTACCGAATCAATACACTAGTTGGAATGTTAAGAAAGAGATGGCGACTTAAAAAGATTATTATTAATAATAAATCTATTAATTAAATTAATTTAATAGACGTTTTAAAATCCTTTTCTTTGAAGATATCGTTAACAGCTATCATTATGACAGCTAAAAATGACGTTTATGAAATTACCGAATCAATACACTAGTTAGGATGTTAAAAAAGAGATGGCGACTTAAACAGATTATAATTAATAATAAATTTATTAATTAAATTAATTTAATTGATGTTTTAAAATCCTTTTCTTTGAAGATATCGTTAACATTTATCATTATGACAGCTAAAAATGACGTTTATGAAATTACCGAATCAATACACTAGTTGGGATGTTAAAAAAGAGATGGCGACTTAAAAAGATTATTATTAATAATAAATTTATTAATTAAATTAATTTAATTGGTGTTTTAAAATCCTTTTCTTTGAAGATATCGCTAACATTTATCATTATGACAGCTAAAAATGACGTTTATGAAATTACTAGTTGGAATTGTTAAAAAAGAGATAGTGACTTAAAAAGATTATTAATAAATGTATTAATTAAATTAATTTAATTGTTGTTTTAATTCTAATGTGATGTAATTTTAATTTAATTTAAAAAAATCATCTTTTTCTCTAAAGATGTCGCTGTTAGTTGTCAAACTGACAGTTATTTGTTAACGTTTTTCGTAGTCAACTTTTTCACTACCAACTATGATCAACGGTGTTCATAGAGTCCTGCTTTGTTAGTTAACATAACCTAATTTCTGTTGTGTTTTTCGATTAAAAAGGTCCCGCGTTTTACATTTTACACCGTTATAATACTATTTAGACGATTTATTTAGTTTTGTTGCAAACGGCTGTGTGGGTTTTACATTAATTAGTTTTTCTTTTTTAATAATTTTATTATTTTTTAAATTTATATTGTTATTAAATGGGAATGCACGTGGTGGGATTGAATTTTGGGGTATCGAGAGCTAGTTGTCAAGAGGTGGGTAAGTTTTCTTTCGGTTTTATTCATTTCCGCATGTTAATCTTTATCTAAAAATAAATAAACAAATTTATTTTTAATTCGTAAAACTAAAAATGTTACTTTTCCGCATCTGCAGTAGAATTATCGATTCTACAACGCGACGAGCTGCGGCAAAATATTAAAAAAAGCAAACTTAAATTTCTGTTTATGTCGGTTGTAAAAGGATATCCCCATTTTTTCGCTTTCAAATCGTAATTAGAAGCAATAATTCGATTTAATAACCTCAATTATATCCTTAGGGAGCGAAAATATGATATTTTTAAATTTGTTGTTATTTCAATAACAATTAAAAAAATTTTTTTAAACAATGCATCATCGTTATCGTTCGTGTTAATAGATCTTTTTGATGGAATAAATAATTGTGTACGCGATGACGTTAGTTTATTAAATTTACAACATAGATCGACGTCTAATCTCATTTTTAAACTTAATGAATTGGACGAAAACGAGTTGTTTTTAACTTAGAAACGTTATCTTTCGAGAAACTGTTGAAATTTCGATTTCAAAACTTCAAAAACATTGCATGATTTTATTCGAAAATGCAAATCCTAAAATATTTTTATATTTTAACATAAACAAATTTATTTAAAACGAATTTTATTAGAACAAATCAATTTTTGTTGAGTTAATTAATATTTTAGCTTTTTTCAAAATTTAATTTTTAAAAAATCGGTTCTGCTATTACCCAAAAGATGGCGCTTTATGAACTTGTCAAATTTTTTTAATTATTACAATAAAAACATACTAATAAAACAAGATCTTTTAATAAAAAGATCTAATTACATCAACACTTATAAGATAGTTACACAACTGTTGATATCATATTTTCTTGTTATCTATTCTTTAACGCATAAAAAGCGTCTGTTTTGTTAATAATTTGCGTTAAACTCCATCCTTCCAATTTTATATCATTTCCAGAAAATTAGATATCTTAATGAAACCTGCGCTCTGTTTGATTGTATGATAGATACTGGATATTAGAGACAGAAAATGTTCTGCTGCAAGCTATTGATGTTGTAGACAGAAGACTAAATGAACAAGAGTAAATTTTTCTTGTGGAAGACTACTAAATGTTTGCAAAAGAGTAGATGTTGCTTGCAGATGATTTCTTAATACTTGCAGAAGAATAGGAACTGTTTGCATTGAAGGCTAAACTATACTCATCGAGTACTAGACACTTCTAATAGAAGATGACTGGATGCTGGTAATAAAAGACTACATACCTATAATAGAACAACTAAATACTGCTTGGAGAGGACTAAATATTGTTGGCAGAAAATTAAATTTTCCGTAAATCTATCAAGAAAAACATGAAAATTTGCTGAAATCATTGTTTTTTGCAAGCAAAGTTGTAGCAAATTATATTCTTAATGATATTGCTCTCAGATGCGTCAATATTGAGAAAATCACAAAAATATGAAAATTTTATGAATTTGGAGCACTATACAAAAAAAATTTTAGAACAATAGTTGTAGGAAATTTTATTCTCAACAATATTGCTCTCCTTTACTTTTAGTCCTAGATGCTTAAATATCGAGAAAAGTACGAAAGTATTAACATTTGATGAATCCTTCACTTTTGCTCTCAGATGCGTAAATATCATTGCAGATCATTTTATATTGCTTAAAGATTGCTTGCAGAAAACTGAATATTCGCTCGATATTATGTACTAAATACTAGTAATGGAAGAAGACTGGATAGTTTTTATATGAGACTAGATACCAATGGTAGAACAATACATACTGCTTGGAGAAGACTAAATACTGCTAATAGAAGACTAGATCTTGTCAAAAGATAAAATAGCGTTGTTTGCAAAAGACTGCATCATCGAAAATCAAAATTCTCATTGCAGATCATTTTATACTGCTTAAAGATAGTTTCCAGAAGACTGAATATTGCTTGTAAACTACTTGATTCTGCTTGCAGTACACTGGACATTATGTACTAGATATTGGCAATGGATGAAGACTGGATACCGATACTTAGCAGTATTGCTCTCTTGTACTTTTGCTGTCAGATGCATAGATATTGAGAAAAATACGAAATTATGAAAATTTGATGAATTTTGTTGTTTGAAAAGTAGTTAATGATAACACTGGGATATCGAAGTATGTTACAAAAAAACATTTAAAACAAAAGTTGTAGCAAATTTTATACTTAGCAATATTGCTCTCTTGTACTTTTGCTGTCAGATGCATAGATATTGAGAAAAATACGAAATTATGAAAATTTGATGAATTTCGTCGTTTTGAAAGTACTTGATGGTAACACTAGGAAATCGGACATTATGTACTAGATACTAGTAATGGAAGAAGACTGGATACTTGTTATATGAGACGATGCCAATGGTAGAACAATAAATATTGCTTGGAGAAGACTAAATACTGCTGGCAGAAGATTAAATACTGCTAATAGAAGACTAGATGTTGTCAAAAGATAAAATAGTGTTGTTTGCAAAAGACTGCATCATCGAAAATCAAAATTCTCATTGCAGATCATTTTATACTGCTTAAAGATAGTTTGCAGTACACTGGACATTATGTACTAGATACTGGTAATGGATGATGACTGGATACCGATGGTAGAACAATAAATACTGCTTGAAGAAGACTAAATAGTACTGGTAGAAGATTGAATACTGCCAATAGAAGACTAGATGTTGTCAAAACTAAATACAGGACGCTGTACTAGATACTTCTAATGGAAGATGAATTGGTGCAGCTAATAAAAGACTACATACCGATAATTAAACACTAAATATTGCTTGGATATGGTTAAATACTGTTGACAGAAATTTAAATACTGCTTACAGAAGACTATTTCATTGAAAATCGAAATTCTCGAAGAAGACTACACTCTGCTTGATGCAGGTCGATGTCCACATAGATGATTAACTTGTTTATCATTGTTTCGGATACATATCAAGCTGTAAAAATTAATATTTTCATATCTAACTTTACTCTTTATAGCTTATATTAATGATATATATGAATGCTTTCACACTAGTGTTATTGTGCAATACGCTGATGATTGTAAAATGTTCTCGAAGGTTTAATCCACTTCTGATTGTCAAAGTTTATACATTGATATAGACAGATTATAAATATATGTCTCAAAAAGTTTTTTTTGCATAAATTGCGACAAATGCAATCAAATAGCATTCAGCAGAAAACAATACTCAGTGAATTTCACTATTTCAAATGTGTATATGCTATGTGGCTAAAATAAAAACTATTAAAATAAAAATAATTTGAGTGGAAAAGCAAAGATAAGAAATATGATTCAGAGCGGAAACTCTATTTTTAAATAGACCTAGAATTAAATCGAAATCTAGATCGTCCTGGGATATTTCGGAATCAAGCTCGTTTTATTTCATTTTACTTTATGACTGAGGTTTAAAAAAGAATTGAATTAAAATGAATTTATTTTTAATAATTTTTTAGGGTGCAGGTTATTTGAAAAGGGCTAATCCAGATCAACTCCATGAAATCTTCAACAAATACGCGTCGGTCGAAAAGAACGGCGAAAAATTTATGACCGCCGAAGACTTCGTGCGGAAATATCTCGGCCTTTTCAACGGGACCGATTTCAACCAAGATTCCGTGCGTATGTTGGCTTCCATCGTTGACACCAGCAAAGATGGGTTCATCTCGTACTCCGAATTCCAAGCGTTCGAAGGCCTTTTATGTTACCCCGATGCACTTTATAAAACGGCGTTTCAACTTTTCGATGTTAACGGAAATGGAATGGTTAGTTTTTGTAAGTTAACTAAATTAGTTTTAATTTGTTGTAAATTAAATTTTTTTTGTTGTGTTTTAGCCGAGTTCGTGGAGGTGATGAAAAAAACCGAACTACATCTTAGAATCCCGTTTAATATCGAATCGACATTCGTTGAGTTGTATTTTGGAAAGAACCGCCAACGATTAATAACATACAGCGAGTTTAGTCAATTCATTCACGATTTTCATGAAGAATACGCGATTGAAGGTTTTCGCAGAGCTGATAAAGATGGATCTGGTTTCATTTCCGTTTTGGATTTTCACGATATTATGCTCAGCATTAAGAGTCATTTATTAACGAAGCAAGTTCAATCGCATTTAATTGAGGTAAATCATTTTTTTTTTTAATTATTTTAATTAGAAATGATTTTTTAGGCTGCTAGCGGAAGCCAAACGGGTAGGAGAGTTAGTTTCCCCTATTTCATCGCTTTTAATTCCCTTTTAAATAATATGGAGCTTGCGAAACGTATTTATTTAAATGTTACGAGCGGTCATCGCGCGCAAGAAGTCACCAAAGAAGAGTTTATGCATTCTGCACAAGCTATGTCTCAAATGACGCCGCTGGAAGTTGATATTTTATTCCAATTGTGTGATATTTTACATCAAAGCGGGTAAATTTTTATCTATATTTGTCTGAGAAGTAATTAGTTAAAACGATAAAAAAATTTAATTTAATTGCTGCTTGGAATAGTCTCTATTATCGATTAGAAGATTGCGGATTGTGGGATGGGTTCGTTCTTTATATGATTATCAAAAATACTACGTAAATTTCAAGTTCGTTTTTCCTTATTTTTAGTAGTTTTTGTTGTTTGTTGTTAAAAATAAGTTAAAAACACCTCGATATAACGGATTAATAACCGATATAAAATAACGATTTTGTGGTCTACTTCCGGGCCACCATCTTGAAAATACTTTGGATCGAAAAATCGGAATGAATTAAATTTCAGAAACATAGATGAAATGGAACAAAAAAAAACGGGTGTTGTTGACTTTTGGCGGACACTGTATATGATCAAGGACGGTAGAATCTAAGACGACGCTACATCTCTTGTAGCAAATTTTATACTTAGCAATATTACTCTCTTGTACTTTTGCTCTCAGATGTATCGATATTGAGAAAAATACGAAATTATGAAAATTTGATGAATTTTGTTGTTTGAAAAGTAGTTAACGATAATACTTGGATATTGAAGCATGTTACAAAAAGACTTTTATAACAAAAGTTGTAGCAAATTTTATACTTAGCAATATTGCTCTCTTGTACTTTTGCTGTCAGATGCATAGATATTGAGAAAAATACGAAATTATGAAAATTTGATGAATTTTGTTGTTTGAAAAGTAGTTAATGATAACTCTGGGATATCGAAGTATGTTACAAAAAAACATTTAAAACAAAAGTTGTAGCAAATTTTATACTTAGCAATATTGCTCTCTTGTACTTTTGCTCTCAGATTCATAGATATTGAGAAAAATACGAAATTATGACAATTTTATGAATTTCGTCGTTTTAAAAGTACTGCATTTGGATATCAGAGCATGTTACAAAAAAAGTTTTAAAACAAAAGTTGTGGCAAATTTTATACTTAGCAATATTGCTCTCTTGTACTTTTGCTCTCAGATGTATAGATATTGAGAAAAATACGAAATTATGAAAATTTGATGAATTTCGTCGTTTTGAAAATATTTGATGGTAACACTTGGATATCAGAGCATTTACAAAAAAAACTTTTAAAACAAAAGTTGTAGCAAATTTTATACTTAGCAATATTGCTCTCTTGTACTTTTGCTGTCAGATGCATAGATATTGAGAAAAATACGAAATTATGAAAATTTTATGAATTTTGTTGTTTGAAAAGTAGTTAATGATAATACTGGGATATCGAAGTATGTTACAAAAAAACATTTAAAACAAAAGTTGTAGCAAATTTTATACTTAGCAATATTGCTTTGTTGTACTTTTGCTGTCAGATGCATAGATATGGAGAAAAATACGAAATTCTGAAAACTTGATGAATTTTGTTGTTTGAAAAATAGTTAATGATAACGCTTGGATATCGAAGCATGTTACAAAAAAACATTTAAAACAAAAGTTGTAGCAAATTTTATACTTAGCAATATTGCTCTTTTGTACTTTTGCGCTCAGATGTATAGATATTGAGAAAAATACGAAATTATGACAATTTTATGAATTTCGTCGTTTTAAAAGTACTGCATGGTAACATTTGGATATCAGAGCATGTTACAAAAAAGTTTTAAAACAAAAGTTGTAACAAATTTTATACTTAGCAATATTGCTCTCTTGTGCTTTTGCTCTCAGATGCATAAACATTGAGAAAAATACGAAATTATGAAAATTTTATGAATTTCGTCGTTTTGAAAGTACTACATCGTAACATTTGGATATCAGAGCAAGTTACAAAAAAAATTTTAAAACAAAAGTTGTAGCAAATTTTATACTTAGCAATATTGCTCTGTTGTACTTTTGCTCTCAGATGCATAAACATTGAGAAAAATAGGAAATTACGAAAATTTTACGAATTTCGTCGTTTAAAAAAGTACTTCATGGTAATACTAGGATATCGGAGCAAGTTACAAAAAAACTTTTAAAACAAAAGTTGTAGCAAATTTTATACTTAGCAATATTGCTCTCTTGTACTTCTGCTCTCAGATGTATAAATATTGAGAAAAATACGAAATTATGAAAATTTTACGAATTTCGTCGTTTTGAAAGTACTTGATGGTAGTAACACTAGGATATCGGAGCATGTTACAAAAAAACTTTTAAAACAAAAGTTGTAGCAAATTTTATACTTAGCAATATCGCTCTTTTGTACTTTTGCGCTCAGATGTATAGATATTGAGAAAAATACGAAATTATAACAATTTTATGAATTTCGTCGTTTTAAAAGTACTGCATGGTAACATTTGGATATCACAGCATGTTACAAAAAAGTTTTAAAACAAAAGTTGTAACAAATTTTATACTTAGCAATATTGCTCTCTTGTGCTTTTGCTCTCAGATGCATAAACATTGAGAAAAATACGAAATTATGAAAATTTTATGAATTTCGTCGTTTTGAAAGTACTACATCGTAACATTTGGATATCAGAGCAAGTTACAAAAAAAATTTTAAAACAAAAGTTGTAGCAAATTTTATACTTAGCAATATTGCTCTGTTGTACTTTTGCTCTCAGATGCATAAACATTGAGAAAAATAGGAAATTACGAAAATTTTACGAATTTCGTCGTTTAAAAAAGTACTTCATGGTAATACTAGGATATCGGAGCAAGTTACAAAAAAACTTTTAAAACAAAAGTTGTAGCAAATTTTATACTTAGCAATATTGCTCTCTTGTACTTCTGCTCTCAGATGTATAAATATTGAGAAAAATACGAAATTATGAAAATTTTACGAATTTCGTCGTTTTGAAAGTACTTGATGGTAGTAACACTAGGATATCGGAGCATGTTACAAAAAAACTTTTAAAACAAAAGTTGTAGCAAACTTTATACTTAGCAATATTGCTCTCTTGTACTTTTGCTGTCAGATGCATAGATATTGAGAAAAATACGAAATTATAAGCATTTTATGAATTTGTTGTTTTTTCAAGTTATTAGTGATAACCAGAGCCACGACGTTGTCGGGCAAGTCATTGGCGGCTCGTCTCCTTGCTGTAGAGAATCGGGCCACATCAGGCCACATATAGTATACCACGCCACTGGTTGAATTTTAGTCGGACAATCGGCCAAACACGTATTGAACGTTGCACCGCAGAGAACCCACACAAATTTTACATGGGCCAGCATTCAACCAGTATCGTTACGTTGCGGTACATCGATGTGCTCGATAGTGCACGTGCCCGTTCGCCGCTCTATACAGATGGTGACATCAACAGCCAGAAACGTCGCGGCTCTGGTGATAACACTCGGAAATCAGAGCATTTTACAAAAAAACCTTTCGTTTAAATATATTTTTATCTTGTAATGTATTAACTTAAAATTAAATACATTCTCATAAGAATCTAGTTACAGCATATGCAAGACGGACAAAGCTCTATTTTGTGCTCACTACAGAGACTTTTGACATTTTGCACAGAATGATTTCGTCATTCATAATCATCATCAATGGGCATTAAATTTTCAATATTACTTTGCACCGACTTAGGCAACATTGGTAATTCAAGTCTATTTGTTAACTGACTTTCGACAAGAACAATTTCGAGATGCATTATTAGCTGCACTTCCCCACACACCAATGACTTGACCATCACTAGAGCTTTACGGAAAACGAGCACAAGAACAAAAATTCTTTCCAACAAGTTTTAAATATGTGTCGTTGATTCACGGTTAATGGTAACACTTGGGAATCGGAGCATTTTATAAAAAAACTTTTAAAATAAAAGTTAACAATATTGCTGTCAGACGCGTAAAAACCGAGAAAAATAACAATTAAAACTAGAACTATCGTCCTTGATTATTACATCCTACGGACAACTCGGGGAATACCCTGAATTTTTTATGAAGATTGAAATGAAATAGATAATATTAATATCCGTTCTATTAAGGTCCGTTATATCTANGAAGTATGTTACAAAAAAACTTTTAAAACAAAAGTTGTAGCAAATTTTATACTTAGCAATATTGCTCTCTTGTACTTTTGCGCTCAGATGTATAAACATTGAGAAAAATACGAAATTATGAAAATTTTATGAATTTGTTGTCATTCAAACCTTTTGAACAAAGAAAAAAGTAACTTAAAGTAGCTATAAGCGTTTAAATATATTTTTATCTTGTAATGTATTAATTTAAAGTAAACACATTCTCATAAGAATCTAGTTACAGTATATGCAAGACGGAAAAAGTTCTATTTTGTGCTCATCACAGAGACTTTTGACATTTTGCACAGAATGATTTCGTCATTCATAATCATCATCAGGGCATTTTCAATATTACTTTGTACTGACTTAGGCAATATTGGTAATTCAAGTCTATCTGTTAACTGACTTTCGACAATCAATGACTTGGTCAATGACTTGACCATCACTAGAGCTTTACGGAAAACGAGCACAAGACAAGTAAAAACAAAAATTCTTTCCAACAAGTTTTAATATGTGTCGTTGATTCACGGTTAATGATTCGCGTAAAAACCGAGAAAAATAACAATTAAAACTAGAACTATCGTCCTTGATTATTACATCCTACGGACAACTCGGGGAATACCCTGAATTTTTTATGAAGATTGAAATGAAATAGATAATATTAATATCCGTTCTATTAAGGTCCGTTATATCTAAATTTTACTGCAATATCGTTTTCTTCTTTTCATAGCCGCATCGTCTACAACGATCTAAACGCAATAGCACCAGAGCAATATTTTAAACAAATCACAAATAGGTTAGCAGAAATTAAAGCAGTCTCCGTAAGTCTAAATATAAATCTCTAATTCAATTAAAATCAATTAAAATTATTTTTATTAAGAGTCCCGAAGACAGAGGAATTTTAATCCAAATATTAGAAAGCACTTATCGCTTTACATTGGGTTCCATCGCCGGAGGTATTTTAATTTATTAATTTAATTTAGCTCTAATTTTTAATGATTTTAGCCGTTGGGGCCACGGCGGTTTACCCAATTGATCTGGTGAAAACGCGGATGCAAAATCAAAGAGCTGGATCTTTCATCGGCGAATTAATGTATCGAAATAGTTTTGATTGTTTTAAGAAAGTGGTGAGACACGAAGGCGTTTTTGGGCTTTACCGAGGGTTAGTGCCTCAATTAATGGGAGTTGCGCCGGAAAAAGCCATCAAATTAACCGTTAATGATTTCGTTCGTGATAAATTGTATGATAAAAATGGAAATATTCCAATTTGGGGGGAAATTTTAGCGGGGGCTTGTGTAAGTTGATTTATAAATTTAATTCTTATTAATCCTAGAAAGCTAAAGTATCGTAAATTACGAGTTCAATAAAGATATACAACAATCTGGCGATAAATAATAAATAAAACTAGAACTAACTTTCTAGATCTAGTGTTAGTTCTAGTTTTAGTTCAATAACAACATACAATCTAGCACCATCTAGTGCTTACTAGCACTACTTAACACTGTCACTAGAACTAACACTCGACCTAGAACTAGAATCTGTGTTAGTTCTACTTCTAGTAATGAACTAGGGGATTTTAAAGATGTCCAAAAGTGTCCAGAAGCTTTCTAATAGTCTCTATAGTTATCAAATAGTGTTTAAACGCTTTCTAGACAGTTATAAAGATTTCCAAAATATTTTTAAAGATGTCCAGAAACTTTTTAATGCTTCTTCGCTCGTCTCTCAAGACGGCTAAACCCGAATGTTTCTAGTTCTAAGTCTAGTGTGTCAGATCAATAAAGATATACAACAATCTGGCGATAAATAATAAATAAAACTAGAACTAACTTTCTAGATCTAGGTCTAGTGTTAGTTCTAGTTTTAGTTCAATAACAACATACAATCTAGCACCATCTAGTGCTTATTAGCACTACTTAACACTGTCACTAGAACTAACACTCGACCTAGAACTAGAATCTGTGTTAGTTCTACTTCTAGTAATGAACTAGGGGATTTTAAAGATGTCCAAAAGTGTCCAGAAGCTTTCTAATGGTCTCTATAGTTATCAAATAGTGTTTAAACGCTTTCTAGACAGTTATAAAGATTTCCAAAATATTTTTAAAGATGTCCAGAAACTTTTTAATGCTTCTTCGCTCGTCTCTCAAGACGGCTAAACCCGAATGTTTCTAGTTCTAAGTCTAGTGTGTCAGATCAATAAAGATATACAACAATCTGGCGATAAATAATAAATAAAACTAGAACTAACTTTCTAGATCTAGGTCTAGTGTTAGTTCTAGTTTTAGTTCAATAACAACATACAATCTAGCACCATCTAGTGCTTATTAGCACTACTTAACACTGTCACTAGAACTAACACTCGACCTAGAACTAGAATCTGTGTTAGTTCTACTTCTAGTAATGAACTAGGGGATTTTAAAGATGTCCAAAAGTGTCCAGAAGCTTTCTAATGGTCTCTATAGTTATCAAATAGTGTTTAAACGCTTTCTAGACAGTTATAAAGATTTCCAAAATATTTTTAAAGATGTCCAGAAACTTTTTAATGCTTCTTCGCTCGTCTCTCAAGACGGCTAATCCCGAATGTTTCTAGTTCTAAGTCTAGTGTGTCAGATCAATAAAGATATACAACATTCTGGCGCTGAATAACAAATATAACTAGAACTAACACTTGACCTAAAAAGTTTCGGGTTTAGCCATACGTCTTCAGACAGCAGTACGTTTTAATAAATTTTGTTTGTTTATAGGCTGGGGGTTCACAAGTAATCTTTACAAACCCTTTAGAAATAGTTAAAATTCGTTTGCAAGTTGCTGGGGAGATAGCTGGAGGAAGTAAAGTACGTGCTTGGTCGGTTGTGAAAGATTTAGGATTATTCGGTCTTTATAAAGGGGCGAAAGCTTGTTTATTGCGAGATGTCCCATTCAGCGCGATTTATTTTCCCGCTTATGCCCACATGAAAGCGAAATTAGCGGATGAAAACGGTTATAATCGCCCTATTTCGTTACTGGTTGCTGGAGCGATTGCCGGTATCCCGGCTGCATCCCTCGTTACACCAGCTGATGTTATAAAAACTAGGTTGCAGGTGGTGGCTAGAGCGGGTCAAACAACTTACTCGGGCGTTTTTGATGCTGCGAAAAAAATTATGGCAGAAGAAGGACCCAGAGCTTTTTGGAAAGGAGCTATGGGTAGCCAATAAAATCATCTTAATTATATTTTTTTTAATGAAATCATTTTCAGCTCGCGTTTTTAGATCTTCGCCCCAATTCGGAGTTACACTAGTTACATATGAGTTATTACAAAGAGCTCTTTATGTTGATTTTGGTGGAACGTAAGTCGCAAAAATTTAATTAATTAAGTAATTTTTATTAAATTAAATTAAATTAGACGCCCAACTGGATCTGAATTTAAAGTTCCTGTTGTTGGATTAGAGCAAGATGTGAAATCGCGAAACCCAGATCACATCGGTGGATATCAAGTTGCGTTACCAATCTTTTCCGGTATTGAGACAAAGTTTGGAATTTGCTTGCCCAAGTTTACTGCCGCAACGATAACGAGGAACGTTGTCGCAAATTAATTAATTAAGAATTGATGATGTAAATAAATATTTCTTTAATAGGAAAGGAAAAAAGACACTGTGATAAATGTGTCGGAAAAAGAAACGAAATTGGCTGTATATTAATTAATTTAAATTTTAATAAAAGAATACGAATTTGTTATTGAAGCTATAAATAAAAAGTGAAAAGTTCTTTTCCTTGATTAGAAAAAATTGCGAAATAAATAAAAAATACTCTTATTTTCAAAGTGTTTAAATGTAATAAGTTAAAAACCTTATATTTTTCTATTATTGTTTTTTACTTAAGGTTTAATTTATGCACATTTGTTAAAAAACTATTTAAATAAAATATACTTTCAAAAAAAAGCTTTTTTCATTTTATCTCTGTTTAGTTACGTCGGAGAGCCTCATCGAAATTCGAGAGGATGCAGTGGGAGTCAATAAGGGTCAAAAAAAGGGGTTTTTTGAAAATTGGCTTTCTCGTCAAGTCAAAATATTCCATTATCGGGACGTTTAGTGAAGACCAAAGCTCATGAAATAGCACAAAAATTAAATGTTGCCAACTTTCGGCCAATGAATCCAATGGTTGGTTGCAAAAATGGCGTAAGAGCCACGCATTAAGTTTTAAGAGCATTTCCGGATAATCAGCTGATGTCAATCAAGACGACGTAAATCAGTTTAGCAACAAGTTGCCTGTGCTACTCCTTGGGTATCGGTCAAGTTTTTGCCTCCAATACTACATCAGCGTATTAAGCGAATTTTAAATTCTATTATCAAGGGTTAATACTTAAGCACATTTTCCATAAATATTTTAGAAGCACTTTATTGGATTAAAACAGCCTAGAATAAAGTTTCGTCAACAACGATACAAAATTGCTCAAAAAAAGCTGCTTTTCAGAAAAATTCGATTCTACATCATTCGAAGGAGATCCAGAAGATTTATCTACTATAGTTCAAACGCAAAGGTGTGCCAATGAAATGAACATAACACAAAAAAATCTTGATGATTATGTTCTAATCGACGATATTACAACAACAGAAGAGATGAGTTTGAACATTGCACCAGAAGACGAAGATCTTGTGTGTGATACTGTTAAAAGCAGCAACACAATTACTACATATAATGAGGCTTTCAAAGTAATTAAATTTGAACACTTCAAAAATTTAGGAGATCATTTTCAATCTAGTTTTTTAATGAAAAAATACTAGACATGTGTCAACGGAGCATATTAGAATTTGTAAATATTGTCATTGCTAACGTGGAATCCAGCTTAACCACAATGGACGAGCAAAAAGCCTAAATTCTGAGAATGGACATCTCCAGGATCATATGTTTAGACAAACCACCCTAGACAACTTGGTTCAAAGTAAACTTTAGCCCCTAAAACGTTTTAAAAATAGAACATCATCATACCACCGGCGGACAAAAGAGGAACGACTGACCGCATAAGAAGACTTCTATCTTCATTTCCACCACCTACAAACCTATCAAGACCATAGGAGCTTCTCTCAGGAATCCAAAGGACAAGCTGAAACTGAAAAATCTAGGAATTTATTCCATTCCTTGCGGCTTTATAACAAAAACTATGTGGAACAGACCAATAGAAGAATAGCCGCCAGAGTGGAGGAACACAAGCTGATCAAAATGACCTTTCCGACAACGCACTGAAGATGTCAACCAACAGGAAGAACGGATGAAATCTCGGATCGACCACAACAACATATACAGTGTGTCCCAGGATAGATGTTATAATGACTTAAAAAATATTGAATTTTATTTTAAGGCTGAGGAATTAAGCCCTGCTTGGTGTGGAGAGAATTTTAAGTATACTTTCATATTTTGAAAACCAACTTGGCCTTGATAGTGAAGCGAAAACTATTTTTAGTTTAGGTAAAGTAAGCTTTTTGTTCCTGATACGGCAAAATATCATTAAGAAAAGTTGTTCAGAATGAGAAATTGTGGCACTATGCAAAATTTCAGAAAGATCTACCTACATTGATTAAACCACCATATGTTAGATAAGAATTTTTTTTGCTGATACAAAGATAGGCAATTTACTTCCAACACGATGGATGCTCACAGCACGTGTAGCTGAATGGTTAAATTTAATATTTCGAGAAAAGATTATATCTAGAAATGGTCCAGTTGCGTGGCCTCGAAGGTCTCCCGACCTTACAATATTAGATTTCTTTCATGGACCCCATGAAACAACTAGTTTTCGCTCAACCAACACCGAACAATGGAAAAATATTAAAAGAACGGATAACAAATGCTATACGACAAATACGCATCGAAAAAATTCAGAACAGTTTTAGAGAATTTAGGCATCGTATAGAAAAGTGTGCAACAAAAGGTGGATGTTATGTTGAATAAACGACAGTTAATTTTACGTTCGATTTTCTATAAATAAAATAAAATTATACAATATTTATGTTATTTAAACTAAAATGTGATGGTTCAACCAAAGTAGATAGATTTTTCTGGCATTTTGTATAGGAATATAATTTCACATTTGGAACAACTTTTCTTAATAAAATTTTTCAGTATCATGAACAAAAAGGTTACTTTACCTGAACTAAAAATAGTTTTCTCTTCACTATCAAGGCCGAGTTGATTTTCAAAATATAAAAATTTACTTAAAATTCTCTCCGCACAAAGCAGGGCTTAATTCCTCAGCCTTAAGATAAAATTCAAAAATTTTTAAGTCATTATATCTCTTGTAACATCTATCCTGGGACACACTGTACAGGGTCATCCACGACGACCGTCCATTAGAACTTTACAGGGTTCTGGCCAAAATACAAATTTGAAAATTCAAATTTAAGTATTATCAATTGCGTTCTTTTCGACTAAAATATTTTCAAATATCTAACACTTCCGGTTATACTGGAAGTCGCTACCTACTTTATTTTTTTAAAGGGAACACCCTGTATATTTTTACATATTTGGATTTGTCTGTTTTCAAGGTTTATGAATGACTTTACTTTTTGCAATTTGATTCGGTCTTTCTCGAGTTATTCGAATTTGTTGCAGACATTTGTTCAAAAAATCAGAGAACACTCGATTTTTGGGATATCAATTTAGGATTCAGAACATGCTTAAGCAACATGATGGAGTATGTTTTGGTGCCGAGTATGGCTGTCTAGAACGTTTGGTAACTTTACTATGGCACGTTACCTTTTCGAAACTTGGAAGTACCATAACTTCATTTCTTTAAATGGCACCCCCCATATTTTATTACTTAGTCGTCTTCGGTGTCTCATTTTACATCTTTTATATCCCATATGTCCTATACCTAACATTTATAGTTTGGGAAATAATTAGGGTTTATGGAAAAATGCACACAAATATCGATATTTAACCTAGTGTGTCATGAATACCTAGTTTTCCTAGTCTTTTACCTAGTCTGTTTGCAGACTTGTGATGTTTGATGCCAGCTTTTTAACTAAAGTATATTCAGGTTCCGGGTACTTGTGGTTACACCGGAAGAGGTGACAATTTTCATATTTCAAATGGAACACCCTGAGTTTTATTACATTTTTCAATCAAAAATGTCAACTACAACGTTACTTTTTATAATTTATAAATCATCTAGTTTACCGCCGGAAAAAAAATTTGGTGTTGTGGAATGTTGTTGTGGTTATGTATTATCAGAGGATCAGTAAGGAAAGAGTAAACAGTTTGACATTTGCTAAAGCTATGGTTTATTTCTGTTGGTGTGATGACTAGGTTACTTTTTGTAGCGATCTCTTCTCAAGAAATGGAATTTCGTAATGTCGGCTGCAACATACAGGGGCCTAAAATTGAACAAAAATTTCAAAAATGTAATGAAATACAGGGTGTTCCATTTGAAATATGAAAATTGTCACCTCTTCCGGTGTAACCGCAAGCACCCGGAACCTGAAAATATTTTAGTAAAAAGTTGGCATCAAACACAGAAGTCTGCAAATTTTCAAAAGGCCAGTTCATATGGTTATGCACTAGGTCACACTAGGTATTCATGGCACACTAGGTTAAATATCGATATGATATGTGTGCATTATTCAAAAAACCCTAATTATCTCGCAAACTATAAATATTAGGTATAGGACATATGGGATATAAAAGATGTAAAATGAGACATCGAAGACGACTAAGTAATAAAATATGGGTGGTGCCATTTAAAAAAATGAAGTTATGGTATTTCCAAATTTCGAAAAGTTGACGTCCCGTAGTAAAGTGACCAAACGATTTAGACAGCCGTACTCGGCACCAAAACATACTCCATCATGTTGCTTAAGCATGTTCTGAATCCTAAATTGATACCCCAAAAATCGAGTGTTCTCTGATTTTTTGAACAAATTTCTGCTGGAGCAGATTTTTCTAGAAATATTCGAATAACTCGAGAACGGCCGAATGAAATTGCAAAAAGTAAAGTTATTCATAAACCTTGAAAACAGACAAATCCAAATATGTAAAAATATACAGTGTGTCCCCGGATTGTGTCCCCGTAAGGTATAATTGACGATAAATTTTGGAATTTAAATTCCATCTTTTGCAATTAAAGTCTGGATGACATAAAACGAAATATAACCAAGTTTTACATCAAATGTCCTCAAAGTACCAAAGTTAACGCAAGAAGTTTGTTAACTGTTGCAGCTAAAGTGGCCTTTCTGAGCAATGTACAACAAAAGTTGATTAAGATAAAATGTTTGCTATGTTAAATTATAGCGATATGCTGAATTTTATTAATGTAGGATATAAAGCAAAATGCAGATTTTTAAATCATAAGATTAACAAAACATTTTCGATCTAAACTAAATTAACATAAAAGCTTATTCAATGATACCACCAACACTAACACATAATTCAGCCCTTTTCCGACATTGTTTATAACTTTTTCTAATATGGTCCAACGGAATTTCTCTAATAACAGTTTCAATTTTTTTGTTTTAAACGGTCTAAGTTGTTATTAAAATTTTCAGTGTACACTTTTTGTTTTACATAACATCAAAAATAAAAATCCATAATAAATAAATCCGGACTTCTTGGCGACTATGATTGCGGATCATATCTACCAATCCAGTTTTTTCGAAACAACGTATTTAAATAATTTCTAACTAAAATGGTCGAATGTGGGCCGCAATGTTTTTGTTTTTTAAAAAAGTTCTGTCTTTCAAAATTTTGTACCC